TTTCAAAAAGAAAAGTGCTTATTATTGGACTAGAAAACATATTCCATATCCACACACTTCACACCAACTGCCAGTTGATTCTTGAGATATAATTCTGGGTATATCAATATTAACTTTAAATTTAGACTCCACAATTACTATGTAGGTCTGAACTTTGTTTGCTTGGAATTATCTTTTAATGTTCTTTCCATTTTAACAATACATGAAGGTTGCCCTGATAAACTGCATTGCTAAAGGAGAAACCACAGCTGTGCTGTGGCTGTACCTTGAATGTGGACAGCAATTTCTGCATGTGTAAATGTTAAAGGGATAATAACTGTTCGTTTTGGCCAAAATATGAATTTTCCCACAGTAAACAACAATTTTCCCATACTTACAAATGGTTAACGAATCCATTTCTACATTCAAAGTTAGTCCCTTTTTTCTTAAAAGTTTGGTTTTATGTTATAATCTACTAAGAGATTTTTACCGAGTATAGCCATATATGGAGGTCATGTCACATGTGGTCTGATGACAAGCTCAGATATCAGATTAATAGCTATAACTTCTGTTTTTGTGGTAAAACAGAATATATTATATTTCTATGAGTTGTTTACAATGTTTTTTATTGTGAAATATAAATCTCATACATAGATTTATTATCCCTTTAAGTAAAGTAAAAAAAAACCTTCAACAAAATCATCCACTGGGCAACGACAATTAAGGGCACCAGATCTGCCAAATAATGATCTTCAAATCAAGAGCATTCACAAAGTGATAACAGAGTTAAGGAAGAGCTCTATTATCATCTAAAGCAGACGTATTATTCAATTATAGTGGGTATTGCATTAAAGGCCATTCAGAACAAACTAGAAGATCAGAGATGTGTATCTGCCATCAGAAATGACCAGCAGCTGAGTTATTCATTGAGAATGTATTATTTCAGATCAACTCTAGGAATAGACAGAAACATAAGTCACTGGGAAGAAAGGGAACTACTCTAGGGATAGACAGGAACATAAGTCACTGGGAAGAAGTGAACAACTCTAGGGATAGACAGGAACATAAGTCACTGGGAAGAAGTGAACAACTCTAGGGATAGACAGGAACATAAGTCACTGGGAAGAAGGGGAACAACTCTAGGGATAGACAGAAATGTAAGTCACTGGGAAGAAGTGAACAACTCTAGGGATAGACAGGAACATAAGTCACTGGGAAGAAGGGGAACAACTCTAGGGATAGACAGAAATGTAAGTCACTGGGAAGAAGTGAACAACTCTGGGGATAGACAGGAACATAAGTCACTGGGAAGAAAGGGAACTACTCTAGGGATAGACAGAAATGTAAGTCACTGGGAAGAAAGGGAACTTCTCTAGGGGTAGACAGAAATGTAAGTCACTGGGAAGAAGTGGAACAGATGCTGGTGCAGCAAAGATGCTGAAATATTGAAAAACTAGTTACTGTAAATGAAATATACTGAGGTACTTCCAAATGAGTGAATATCAAACATAACAGTATAATGCCTTACAGCCATTACCAAGCGTCTCATTTCCCATAGTTCCAGTGGTTATTGTGTTATTTCTGAGCTATATAACATAATAGTATAATGCCGTACAACGGTTAACAAGCGTGTTACTTCCCTTAGTTCCAGTAGTTTTATTGTTGAGCCCTACAACACTGTACCTGTAGCATTAGCTGGCAGTAGTTTTGAGACATTTTCTAATGACCTTGTCTTTGTGACGACTGTTTATGTCTACATTAACAACAAGGCCTCTGGTCCTAGCATCCTGTATCAGGGCCCCCCACTCCTTGTCACTCTGAAACAGGAAGGAGACATTTAACAGGTTAAATATGCTTAATGCTAGCATGTCAAAAACAATAATAACAAAATATTACATATGAAGTCATATTAAATTACAGGTAGGCACAATAATTGGAATAATTAAGTAAATAAAAAAGCATATTATATAAAATGTGTCAGTGTTACTTTTACATTAGAAAGCTGGAGTTTCTTACCTTAAGGGTATCTAAGTGTCCAACTACATACAAGGCATGTTTTGCCCTTGTCAGGGCCACATTCATCCTCTGCCTGCTGGCCAAAAAGCTAAAATCACAAGTAACATCAAAAATTACAAATCAGCTGCTGTTGTCAGCATTAATCAATACATAATTTGAAAATGACCTGTAAATTAAAACAATAAGAGCAACTGATGCTGAAAGCAAAAGTACATCTACCATGATTCCAGAAAACTATCTGTCCTGAGAGGGTTGGGCGGCCCGCCAAGGACCATACTACTAAACATTGGGCATGGTATGAATACATCTAGTATGTTAAACAGTCAGACACTCACCCAATTCCCCCTGATGATGTCTGTGCCCTGACACAGGATAATACTATGATGACACTCACCCAATTCCCCCTGATAATGTCTGGGCCCTGACACAGGATAATACTATGATGACACTCACCCAATTCCCCCTGATAATGTCTGGACCCTGACACAGGATAATACTATGATGACACTCACCCAATTCCCCCTGATAATGTCTGGGCCCTGACACAGGATAATACTATGATGCCTTTCTCGCGGCCCTGGAACCCGTCCACAGTGTTAACCTCCAACAAGCGTCCCTCAAGGTGTCTGCAACGAAATCATAACTGCTTCATAAATTATGATGGTGGAATATTATACCTTAGGTCATGTGGTCATCATGGAGTCACACAGGTTGTGCTAAGAAAATATCTTATACTCCATACTTTGGGCAGTTCAAACTGTGCCACTGTACAATGAACCTATACTCCAGTGACATAAATGCACAGCAAATGAAACTCTTCAAAGTTGGTAGTTTTTTAATTGGCAATCAATCCAAGACATCTGGAGTATACTAATAACAGACATATCAACTATTTTTACTGCCTTTCTGAACTGTTATGTATCTTGCCAAATAAAAGAGCCAATGAATGAAATACAGGCATCCTTATATTTACATTTTCTTCAATTTGTCCTCCAGCCATTTCCTCTGTTTCTGATACGGGGTTATCACGCCGATGTTAGTGGCAAATGTCTTGTTCATCGCATGCAAGAACTTGCACAGGTCCACAGTGAACTCTGCTTCATTTTCATTGAAGATGGCTCTAAAAGGATTTAGGAAAAGGCAAATAAGGAAAAGCATGACTAAGTCTTGTAACCTTTTAAACACTATTAAACTGTCATCCTTATGTCTAATCATATCCTTACACAATCCTATATATGCCATCATAAGCTCACCCTGTCACATATATATATATATATATATATATATATATATATATATATATATATATATATATATATATATATATATATATTCTTACCCAGTCCTGTTGTTGTTTTCCTTGCTGTCTTTCAGGTCAAACACCAGATATGGCTGGAAGGGGCATTTGTTTGATTTAGTCTGGCATGACCTGTAAAAAAAGAAAGGTGAATCTCCTAAGTTTTTAGCAGTCAGCAAGAGTCAGACTGTACACACAATACAGATCATGCCCAGTTGTGCCTCATCCTGGTGTCTACTTACATGTCAGTTTTCAAGGAACCATGATAACAGTGTAAAGATGGAAAGTGGCAAATCTCAGGGTGCATCCGGTACTGAGTGTCCAAAAACTGGACAGGGGAGTCACTGTCCTTCTCCTTAAAGTAAACACTGAGGCGCTCTAGCATGGACTGCCCAAAGTTCCTCTCTGTGGAAACCTGGAACACAATTGTATCTATGAACCTTCAGTTTTACAAGATTACTACATTAAAATATGATTTATAACTGCAGTGTCCATTGAACGCTGTACACATAAAAATTTGAATAACAATAAATATTATGCTAACTACTAATGTACCACATTATTGTCAATGTGAACGAGGTAAGAAGTAGAAAACTCACATCATTTCTTATCTGGAACTCTTAGAAAACTGTAATATAAATTTCAAACAGTTCTCGATCCCTCACCTTAAATACTTTCAACATCATTTTAATTAAATCAAAACAATAAATACTACAATCCAGTGTCAGGAAATTTTCTCGAAAGGCTTTGAAGCAGTCTATTTGCTAATGAAACATCTTAATAAGTTCTTGTATCTAAAAAAAAAAAAAAAAAAAGAAAACTATCTCACCTGTGACAGAACTGTGGGCTGTAGCTGTTCTGGGTCTCCAAACAAGAAGAGTTTTAAGCAGCCATATTGTAAAGGTATCAAACACTCCAGCTCCGTGCTCTGACTGGCCTGGAAAAGAAATAAACCATAGAGCAGAGTGATTTTTTAGAGCAGAGTCAATGTCAGTTGGGGGGGGGGGGGTCTGTTTTATTTTGTCTAAAAATAAGAAGAGCAAATATCCTACCTCATCTATTATAATGCAGTCAAAGAGCAGCTTGTTGGTCTGGCTCTGGTAGTCCAAGAAAGACTCCCTCATCACTGCATTGCCACTGCTGTTCAGAGTGCAGCAAACTATGTCTGCCTTCCTCAAGATGTTCAGTCTGTGCTCCTTCTGTCTCCTGGCCATCTCCTTGGCTCCAAGCCGGGTCTTGGTCTGAAATCATTTACACAGTTAGGTCTTACAGTTAGGACTTCTCCTGATAGAAGGCAGCACCATCATGACAACATGTCCCCTGTGGAGGTACAAATGTGGATGTGACCTTAATCCTCATTCCACAGGTTACACTGTGAACATTAGAAGTAACATACAGTGTAGGGAGGTACTTCTTCATTCCTACTAGAATAAAGCTCTGAGAATGGTATGACAGGGTTGCAGTCTTCACCACATCTGCATCACAGGACAGGAGAGTCTGTCACAGAGTTTTCCAAGCCTTTAAAGTGTGTGCAAATATACTGCACTTTGCCTTTTACAGGGAACAAACATTAAGATACACATGAAATATTTTGCTGACTAGATCTTCCGGGACACAATCAGAAGGTGAGGATCTTAGACTCAAGTACGTGTACTCACCACAGGTTGCCTACAAAGCCACTTCTTCTTCTCTTCTAAATTTCGGAGTGCTTCATCTGTTGTCCTGGTGTCTTTCCCAACATTCTTTTCTTCTTGTAACTTCAGTTTCAGAGATGTCATTTTCACCTCTATTTCTGCCAAAGCTTCCTTCATGCTATCATTGCTCTTTGAAAGCAGGTCTGCATCCTCTAAAACAGTAAAGTTTACACATCTTTATGCCATTAAGAAGTTAAGGGCTCTTTCCCATTGAAACTCTTTGTCTCCATAGATCGCTCCAACTATGAGGGGACTCTCACTGAATGCAACAGTTTAAGATATTAACATGCCTCCTTTTGCTTCCTATGTAATCATATCACCACCAGATTTTCTGCATTCTACTCCATGATAGGAGGAGGCGTGTTAATCTGCTGAAATTATTACATTCAGTGAGAGTCCAGGACCCTGCAGAGTTGGATTGATAATTTCAATAGGAATGAGCCGTAAGATTGTAGCCATTATAATTTTAACCAAATTCAAAAGAATGAGTTTTGATTATGATATTTCTCAGTGAGTTATTCAATTTATACCAAAACATCAAGTCTATTCACCCAAACTCAGCTGATATGTATTTGCTGTTCCAGTGGTATATTTCATTAGTATAGAACCTGGTTCCATAGTGGGGGCCACATACCTCTCCCCATGTTAGACTTGATCAGCTCCTCCAGGGTAATGGATACGATGTCTGGGTGGACATTCTCTGTACTCCCAACACGCACCATACCAGGGACCTTGATTCTTTTGTCAGCTAGAAAGATAACAGAATATAACTGTGTGTGTGTGTGTGTGTGTGTGTGTGTATGTGTGTGCGTGCATGCATGTACATTCTCTGTACTCCCAACACGCACTATACCAGGGACCTTGATTCTTTTGTCAGCTAGAAAGATAACAGAATATAACTGTGTGTGTGTGTGTGTGTGTGTGTGTGT